CCCCCCCCCAAAAAAGTCCAAGGGTCGTGAAACTTAAATGTTTAGGGAGAATGAGTAGTGAGGTATGGGGAATGATGTAGAAAAATATTAACGTACTACATCAGAATTCCTCTTAGTCTTTATTTGGAAAAAATTCTACTAAAAATTGAGTGAGCCTCTCAAGACTTCGGGTGCTTGCTGCTGTCAAAATGCAATAGAGAAAGAAAAAAAAATTGGAATTTTGAAAACAAATTGAGGGGGAAGGACACGAAAGGAAAAATGAGAATGTGGAGCATGGGGCTGTGTTAGATAAACTATTATTTTCCATTAAGTTGCCTGCTAAATGGTATGGGAGGTAGGTAAACTCCTCCATTTCTGTTCCAATCTAAAATCATCCCAAAAGGACACAATCTCATGTGCACGGAATATGAGTGATTTTTGTAGTAGAAATTTCTGAAGACCGAGTTTTAGGAGAGAACCTGTGTGACCTAGGACGAAGGCAGCATTTGTGACATGAGGGCCCAGAGGCTAAGAAGGATCCAAGATGGCAAGCGCTCTGGGGAACAAAGAAGGCTCTGGTCTTTGAGAGGTCAGGGATTTGTGGGGGTTCAGACTCAATCAGGCCGGCTGTTAAGGGGCTTCCACCTGACATCTGAATTGCATATACTGAATGAAGCATCTTTCTCTGACAAATGCTCAGTTTCAAGAATTCTCACCCCTCACCCTTCTCTCTGCTCCCAGTCAGTAGCTCTGCAGAGTAGCACTTAACACATTATCTGTAACTGCTCATTTACTTCCTCCCCTTTCTCACTAGGTTGGTGATGATGAACCTTTTAGAGACTGAAGGCCCAAACTGCAAACCCAAACCCACTTATTTATCACAAAGTGCCAACATTAAAATTAAAGCTGAATACTTAGGTTTCAGTTTAGAAAAAAACCAACTCACAGCAGGACTTGTCTCCAGCTGTCTGGGACCTCGTGTCAGCATCCTTTGGGAACACGATGCCCCCTCAAAAAGGAGGTGATGCAATTAAATCACCCCCAATCATTGGAAGATTTGGAACCTCATTGAAAATTGATATTGTTGGATTGCCAAATGTTGGGAAATCTACCTTCTGTAATGTAGTAACGAATAGGCTTCAGCAGAAAGCTTTCTGTTCTGCACTGTTGATCCTGAGAGCAGAGTTCCTGTGCCAGATGAAAGATTTGACTTTCTTCGTCAGTGTCACAGACCAGCAAGCAAAATTCCTGCCTTTCTAAATGTAGTGGGTATTGCTGGCCTTGTGAAAGGAGCTCACAATGGGCAGGGCTTGGGAAATGCCTTTTTATCTCATATTAGTGCCTGTGATAGGATCTTTCATCTCACACGTGCTTTTGCACTTTATTAAATTCTTTTATTGGTACATTGTAGGTATACAACACAATTACATTTCTCATTGGGAATTGTACCTCTACATAATGCATCTTGGTTCTTATTTTTTCCCCATTCCTAGCCC